AGAGAGAGAGAGAGAGAGAGAGAGAGAGAGAGAGAGAGAGAGAGAGAAGAGAGAGAAGAGAGAGAAAGGAAATGCTATATCTGATAGGAGAAGATAACCACTAATATATTGGGTGAGAAAATGGGCCAGGTCAGAGCTCTGGGTTTCAAGCGTGCTTTGCCTACTTGTTTCCTCTTTAACCTTGTGAAAGTCTTTTCATTTTTCTTTGTGTGTGTGTTTGTGTGAATATGAATGTGTGTGCTCATTTGTTTTTAGACACTCAATTTTCTCCCCTCTAAAAAGGTGATGGTAATCATTACTAATAGAAGATGTTCATAAGATACTCAGAAGTAATTAACACATGATTAATACACAATTACCGGTTACAATGTCAGCCAAAATTTAATATTTATTGATTCATACTATATTCATACTACATGCAGTAAAATATTTACTGCTGATAACACATACATAAATAGCACAAATCACATGCAAACCCATAACACAGGTGAATTAAGTAAACCATCTACAGCTTAAGGATCTTAAGGAAACATTTGCAGTAACAAAGCTACTTTAAGTGCTGCCAGTTCCGGTTAAAACTCAACAGTGTGGAGGTAAAATTGAAGAAAGTTTTCGGACAGTAGATCAGTCAGGGATGCCATTGAAGAAATTACGAGGAGATGTGTTGTTTAAAGGTGTGTAAACTAGAAAAAAAGAGTAAAGTCATAGAATTCTAGAGTAAATGAAAGAACTAGACGTTTTGAGAGATCTGGAGGTAAGAATTTTGAAACTATTGTGATTTTTTCCCCAGTATGCACAAAACCTCTTATTCCTGAGGCCAATGAATGTCTCACAGACAAGAAGCTCCTCTGCTGAGCATCCTCCCCAGAGCCCCCTTCACATCCTTGTTCCTCAGGCTGTAGATGAAGGGGTTCAGCATGGGGGTGACCACAGTGTACATCACGGAGGCGATCATGCTTCTCTGGGAAGAATGGATCACCGCAGAACTGAGGTAAGCCCCAAATCCTGTCCCATAGAACAAGGAGACCACGCAGAGGTGAGACCCACAGGTGGAGAATGCTTTATACTTGCCAGCAAGGGAGGGCATCCTCACTAAGGAGGAGACGATACGACAGTAAGAGTAGAGAATCCCCACCATGGGAAGTACACACAGCAGGGCAGCCACCACATACATAAAGATGTTATTCATAAGGGTATCCGAGGTGGTCACTGTAAGAAGCTGAGCCAGTTCACAGAAGAAATGTGGGATTTCAGTGCCAGTGGAGAAGGTCAGTCGATTCAACAGCAGAACATGAATCAGGGAGACCCAGAACATGATGAGCCAAGAGAGCAGCACCAGGAGGACACAGAGCCTGGGGTTCATGATGACTGTGTAGTTCAGGGGGTGGCAGATGGCCACAAAGCGGTCATAGGCCATCACAGTCAGTAAGAAATTTTCCATTCCAGCAAATGTATTTAAAAAATAGACCTGAGTCAGGCACTCTGTGTAGGAGATGTCCTTGTTCTGTGCCTGGATGTTCACCAGCAACTTGGGGACTGAGGTGGAGATGAAGCAGATGTCAGTGAGGGACAGGTTGGAGAGGAAGAAGTACATGGGGGTGTGGAGGTGGGGGTCAGAGCTGACAGCCAGGATGATGAGCAGGTTCCCAAGCACTGTGACCAGGTATACATACAGGAAAAGCCCAAAATATAGCAGCTGCTGTTCAGGATCATCTGAGAGACCCAGGAGGAGGAATTCTAACACACCTGTGTGGTTTTCTGCTTCCATATTGCTGGTGTATCTGCTGGGGAAGGAGCCATGTTTCGTGTTCAAATAATAGCCAGCTGTCACCTTGGGTACTTATCTCTTTTCAATATCACCCTGAGATAGAGGCTCTTCATCCTATATTGAATCCTGCCAAGGACCGATCAACTCAGCCAAGTGAGAGAACATTTTCATTTTAATGTATACCATTGTTCTGGCTTTCTTTAATTTTATTTATGTTCTTATTTAGTACTATTAGGGATTGAACCCAGGATCTCCTTACCACTGGGCTACACTCACAGTCTTTTATATATATTTTTTTTTTATTTTGAGATGGTCTCTCTAACTTGCTGAGGCTGGCCTTCAGCATGTGATCCTTCTGCCTGAGCCTCCCAAGTGGCCTGGATTACAGGCATGGGTCATCATGCCCAGCCTTGACTTCCCCTAATTTTGCAGAAATCTCTCTCTCTCTTTTTATCACTGACTTTCTCTTGTTACAATTTTCCTAACAGAATCTATAGACGGAAACTTATTTCTTCTTTGCTAAGCCTTTCAAAGTGTCTGAAGAAATTTTATTGCTTTTTTTTTGTTGTTTTGAACCAGAAATTGGACCCAGGGGTGCTTAATCATTGAGCCACATCCCCAGCCCTTTTTTTTATTTTCTTTTGAGACAAGGTCTTGCTAAGTTGCTTAAGGCCTTGCTAAATTGCTGAAGCTGTTGATATCTAGGCCTGGTGGCGCATGCCTATAATCCCAACAGCTCAGGAGACTGAGGGGGGAGGACTGCAAGTTCAAAGTCAGCCTCAGTAACTTGGGGAGGCCATAAGCAACTTAAAGAGACCCTGTTTCAAAATAAAAAAGGGCTGGGGATGTGGCTCAGTGACTGAGTGCCCTGGGTTCAATTCCTGGTACAAAACAAACAAACAAAAAAACTGCTTACGATGAGTAAGAATTATGAAACCTGAGGATGTTAACTATTTCAAGATAGGAAAAAAATCCTTGAAGACCAATGTAGTCTATGAAGGTGGGAGGAGAGTGCTCTCTGAAATGGGAATGTTTGGGCAAGGAGAGGAAGGACCGGGGACTGCTCACTGGGGAGTGTAAGTGAGGGAGGAACTTTCTAGTATAAGAGAAGAGGATGAGTGGCTGCCCAACTAGATGGCCAGCTGGTATAGGAGGGGGTGCAGTGGCCAGTGGAGTGGCCAGTGGATGGAGCAGGGTGGGCTTCTGGAGGGACAGAGTGTGAGGCCCACAGTCCAGCTGCCTGGGGACCTCCCGGAGGTCCCTCACACATGGGTAAAGCTGTATTGATTTGTGGACAAGAGGTTGGGACCGTTTTGCTCATTTTTCTACCCAAAGGGGCATATGGTGCCTGTCACCTGTCAGGTGGCTTGACAAGTACAGATGCGGGCTGTGTAACAGACTGAGATCTGTGATCTTGAGAAAGTCACTTAAGCTCATGTCAACAACAACACAAAAAAGAAATAGGTGAATGAAGAGAACTCAAAATGATAATCACAATAAAAAAAAATGACTCTGAGGAGATTTAGCAGCCATTACGGTTTTTATCAGCCAGACCAGAGAATCCTCTGGCATGAGGAAACCAGGGACAAGTTATTAAGACAATAAAAATGATCATAGCAAACATGAGATGCTGGGGTGGAGTACTGTAATATTTGGGTTCAGTTAATGAATATGCCAAAAAAATATACTCCAACATCAATCAGCCAGTATTCTCCTGAGATGAGGTCAGAATAGGCACAAATAGCGAACATCAGAAAAGGTCATATTATTGTATTATATGGTGGCCTCTAAAGTGAGCAGATAGGAGAGTGGCAGCAACCATCATGTGGGACTATTCAGCAATGTCATTAAGTCAGGATTGACAGCAAATGTAGGTAGAGTACAAAAGAAAAATCACATTAAGAACCTATGAGTCAATATCTCATGCAGAATGGATGGATCTTCAGTAAGTAATTAGGAAATATAAGATTTGGTATGGAAATCTAATAGGAGCCTATAATTCCCGGGAGAAAGTAGAAAAGATATGGAATGGCCACTTCTGACCTATTGAAAAAGGTTCTGAATTCTAGAAAGCAAGGAAAGGAAGCAGAATGAGAGTTTGAAAAGATGATTCAGAGGAAAATAAAGTACCTTGCAAAGTGCAGGACCTTCGCCTTCATAGACTGACTACACGGGGCTTCCCAGGGTCATTGTCCTGGAGTACAGCCCAGGGCCCACCTTCCCCTTTTCCTTTATTGCTCCACCAGCCGCCCTGGAAATGCTGACTCTCTCCAAGACTCTCACTGGAGACATCCCTTCTGCACAGCCTTTGTACAGAGAGTTGGAGCGGAGAAGTGTAAGAGAGGGGATAGAAGGCATGCTTAAAGAGGTGGATTCTCAGTGCTCCTCATTAAATAAATTATTCTTTTATCTTTGCAGTTGCATGTAATTCAACTCCCCTGGGCCATGGAGCAGAAAACAGAAAGAAAAATTTTTAGTCAGTATTGTATGTATGTATGCAGTAAGAGGGTGATGTGGATTCATTTCCTCCAAGGAAAACAACAGTTTTCTTTGCTTTAATTTAAATGTCACAAGGTATCCCCTGTGGAATGTTTGTTTTCTACATGGACCCAAAGTCAAGAATCAGTCCTCTGTGAAGTGCTTCCTCTAAAGAATCTTTCAGGGTTAGGGATATAGCTCAGTTGATAGAGTGCTTGCCTTGCATGCACAAGGCCCTGAGTTCAATCCTCAGCACCATAAAAGAAAAGAAAAGAATCTTTGTCAGTTTTGTTAACCATTTGGTGTTTGCGATGTTAAATTCATGATAATTAAAAGTGTCAAGGTAGAGAGGGAGGTACTTTGAAGTAGGGTTCATCACTGTGGGGAGTCCTCTGTGAGCTATTTGAGGGGTCTTGGCTCTGTACTGAGCCATGGAGACTTAGGTGTTTTTCCTTAGGACTATCCCAGCTCTCCTGTGCGCATCAGATTGCCCAAGGCAGTAGACCTGGGTCCTCCTAGGGGGACAGCTCCTGCAGCTCCAGAATTGGGTATAACCTGTTGGGCGTAACCCCACCCCCTACCTTATTTGGCAAAGATCATTCCATGGAAAACCTTTGATGTTCCCCCATGTAAAGAAAAAAATTGTGGGCTCCATCTCTCTTTTTCTACTGTAGAAACTCCATCCTTTTTTTTTATAAAATTAATTCCAAGTTTTATTAAGGATTTCAAATTACATATTTCACATATCTAGAATGGAATAGAACCACTTTGGAACTGAAGAAATGGCATAAATGAACACTGACATTCCCTGAAACTCCAATTTTATAAAGAAAACAATTCCTGTGCAGACCACACTGATTATTTAACAAGATGAAGTATTACTATCTTTTCACTTTGGCATAGCTGTTTCCTAAAGGAATAAAACAAAAATAGTGATTTTGTTGCTTCTTTCAATTCATTAAAAATGGGATTCTATCTTTAGATCAAAATTTTTAAACTCAGAAAAAGCTTGTATTTAGATTGTGGTTAGAAAAAAATCACAGTCAAGTCAAAGCAATCAAAATCATTTTGAAAATGAAGAAAAAAACTATTATAATTGGTTAAGGATTTCCAGTAGTTAGTTAAAAATCTCAGGAAAAGGCATGGATAATTCTATGCAAATAATAAAATGTCTTCACATTCTAAAACCTCAATACTAAATTTTCAAAAGAAAACTATCACTTCTAAAAGTGAACTTAATGTAATTTTATTAACAGCAGAAATTCAAACTCTCCTGTAATTACAATTCATTTAGTTCACCCTCACTGTCAGACCAAAAGTTCACCCCCCAAAATTAACAGTAATAAGCCTGAAGTATTTTAAATGTGACTCTATATTCTCAAATTTAATTTCATTCCCCTTCCCCAAATGGTCTTATTACCACTTTAGTCCCATGATCTCTATAGTATTTTGTTACAGTATGGTCATCTGATACACCTGGAAAAAAAAATCCTTGGACCTACTGAATAGTTCACTCATCCCATCCAATTTTCATTAAAATAGGAGCCATGCACAGATCTGAAAGAGTAAGTATTGTCTGGCCAGATCCAGAAGAGAAGTGTTTTCACTTCATTTTCCAGTTAATTATGGAAGCCTGGTATGAAAAAAAAATGCTGAATATCACACTTGTGGTACAAAACAGGCCCAAATTTTTAAGCTTTTAATGAGGCTGAGAAACAGTTTATGAAATTTAACTTAATATGCCAAATCTTGATCAAGTTCAGATTGTTCTTTGTTGTCAATGTCTGCCATGTTGTAGGAACTTCAAATACCAGCAGCTAGTACTGGGAGCCAGGCGGTCAGAGCTGCGCAGGAGGTGGCGCCTAGAGCAGATGGCGCTAAAAAAGCTAGAAACTCCATCCTTAAGATCAGCGAGCCCCCACCCACCCCTACTTTTTAAAATTACATCCTGTGTCCCGTGGTTTTCTTGCTGCTTTCTCTTTTTTAGCTTTTATTCTGAAGCAAGCCCACTCCACAAAGGGGAACCTCACGTCCACTTCATTACAGCTTTACCCCTAAAGCTGTAATGAAGGAAGAAGGAAGAAGGAAGAAGTTGTTCTCAGAAGAAGACACAAATGGGGGCTGGGGATGTGGCTCAAGCGGTAGCACGCTCGCCTCGCATGCGTGTGGCCCAGGTTCGATCCTCAGCACCACATACCAACAAAGATGTTGTGTCCACTGAAAACTAAAAAATAAATATTAAAAAATTCTCCCACTCTCTCTCACTCTCTCTTTAAAAAAAAAAGAAGAAGAAGAAGAAGACACAAATGTCTAACAAAACTCCTCAACATCACTCATCATTAGGGTAATGCAAGCTAAAACCACAAGGAGACAACACTGCACACTGCTCAGCAGGGTTATGATCAAAAACAGGATAAAAAGGGAAACATGAGCTGTGCACTGTAATCCTAGCTACTCAGGAGGCTGAAGCAGGAGAACCTCAAATTCAAAGCCAACCTGGGAAACTTAGAAAGACCCTTTCCCTAAATAAAAAATTAAAGAGGCTGCAGATAAAGCTCAGTGGTGGTACAACTGTCTGGCTTGGGTGAGGCCCTGGATTTAATCTTTAAAAAAAGAAAAAAAAAGAAAGGCAGAAAAAAAAGGAATGTTGGTGAGGATGTGGAGAAAAGTCATCTCTGAAATGTAAATAAATGTAATAATTTATTGGAATATAATAAATATGGAAAAAAGATTGTAATGTAAATAAATAACAATTATGGAAAACAAGTTGCTTGAAGAATTTTACATAGACCACCATAACATCCAGAAATTCCATTTTTGCGTGAAAATCAGATGGGTGTGAAATAGGTATTCACATTACATGTACATTCTCATTACTGTCGCAATATTATTCACAGTACTCAAAGTACAAAATCAATGTAAATGTTTATTGACATATAACTGGATAAATAAATATGCATCTACACAATGGGACATTAGCCAGGCACAACAATGAGAGAATCATGGCATTTAGTACAACATGGATGAGCCTGTATGACATTATCAGCGTGACATATCAGTTTGACCTGATATGTCATACTGAAGCTGCCGGGCGTAGGAAGTCAAGTCCCACATGGCTCACTTACACGTGGGTCTAAAAGTAGAGCCCAGAGAAATAGAGAAGATGGTGACCACAAGAGCTATGGGGTGGAGGATTAGGTGGTTATCTGTCAGAGCTACCCATTTCAGTTAGATATGCTGAGAAGCTTCAAGAGATCTATTGTACAACATGATGAGCATAATCAATAACAGTAAACTTCAGAGTTGAGGCAAAGGGAAAGATATCATAATGAGGGGGAAATATTGGCAAAACACATATTGGATAACGGTCAAGTATCTTTATAATGTAGTGATTTTAACTGTCAGAAACAAAAATACAATCTACACAATTACTTAATGAGCACTGACTTCATAAGACATTTCCCCACAGAAGATAGATCAACTGCCAACAAATTCCTGAAAAGATGCTCGATGTGTCACAGGGAAATGCAAAGCAAATGCAAAATGAGATAGTACTTCACAGACTGTGGAATGCTCTACTTTTTATAAGTATTGGCAAGGATGACACCAGAACCTTCACAGGTAGAATGTAAAATGGGACATTTTACACTTACCATAGGCCCAAGCTCCACTCCTATTTATATTACCAAAACAATAATAATAATAGTATAGTTCTTAACAAAAAAGACAGGTTCTGAGAAATGCACTCTTATGCAGTTTTGTCATCATGCAAACATCCTACAGTACACTTAGATGAAGTATCATGGCTGTGACATCCCTAGACAATCCAGTGTTATGGAACTGCCCATCACATACACAGTCTGTCATTTGCTGAAGCCTCATTAATGCAGCTTGTGACTTTACTCAGACATAAGCATTCACGCATATCCTTAGCAGCACTCTTCACAGTAGCTAAAAGACGTAAATTACCCCAAGGTCCATCAAGGAAGGAATGGCAAAACCACTGTGTTGTACACCTAAAGTGAAATATGCAGTGACAGAAAGAGAGAGAGGTAACACTAACCAATAAAACTGCCAAAAGGAAGAAGGAAAATAAGGACAGAGGAAATGAGGAAAAGAAGGAAGGAAAACCAGCAAGAACCACAGAGAATGAAGCAAGGTCTCAGTGCGATTCTAGCCATTACCTCACAAGTCGTATGAAAAAGCCTGCGTTCAAAACTTGATTCCAGATTTCATGTTCAAAATCCAAACATTGCGGTTACAAAGCGTGTGTTAGCAAAGGTCGGAGCTGACCTCAGTTGTGTGTTCCACGTTTAGTCAATTCCAATCTCAGTGTCTTCAGTGAGTAAGTGAATGAGAGAAAATATTTCAAAGAAATCTTTTCCAGGGTAAATAAAGTCATAGATGTAAAGCAACAAGCATAGTCCTGATATAAAAAGCTCTTTTGCCTTAAAATTTTCATTCCATTTCCTCAGGGAAAATACGAAGATTCAAATTAAGGTAAAGAATATTAATATTCAAGGAATGATTTTTGAGGAAATTATTTCAGCAGGGCTGAGGATGTGGCTCAAGCGGTAGCGCGCTCGCCTGGCATGCGTGCGGCCTGGGTTCAATCCTCAGTACCACATACAAAGATGTTGTGTCCGACGAGAACTAAAAAATAAATATTAAAAAAATTCTTTGAAAAAAGAAATTATTTCAGCACTTGGCATAAGTTGAACAACGCAGGAATGACTACTAGAAACTTCCATATGTGGAAATTCATGCACCACGTATAATTAAGAAAAGTTAAAAGTACTGAATGGATTCTAGAGGAGACGTTAACACAAACGTAAACAAATGTGGAATCATGGATCT